AAAATAAGTACTCCGGTTTAGGGCACCTGACTCTTAATCTTTTCACACTTACAGCTGGAAATTTTGCTCAGAAGACTGCATTCAGACGTTTTTGCCACTTGCCCTGAAAGGCTTGGGTAAATGCTTCTATGCTACTGACTTTGATTTTTTTGTTGGCAACAAGCAGCAAAGGGTAAAATAAGGAAATTAATCTTGCTGATGTGGGTAAGAGGACGATGACAGAGTCTAACAATAAAGAACCATTCCCATTTGCATTCCTTGATAAAAAAATTATTTATGATAACTAAACTTTCATATTGCCTGAAAAAACAGGCCTTAATTTGGAGAGGAATCTCTTGGTTTTAGTCACACAATTCTACGACATCAATGCACAGATGCTCCACAGTCATATGAAACCTGTAGCAAAGGCAAAGTGAGGTATGACATATCATTTCTGAAAAAGAGAAAGTAACAGGATACAAAAAAATAAGCCCACTTTGGGAAAAACCTCTAGGGTTCCAGTTCACTTAAAATAGAATTAGGCAACGCCTTTCACCAGATAAAGTCATAACTCTAATTGCATGATTAAGCTACCACTTAATTCTCATTATTATTTCTTTGAAACTTTTAGGGAGTACTTGGGCCTTACTTACCATACTCTGCTTCCATGAATGTTTTGATGTTTTATATTCTTTTGAATACTTCAGTATATACCGTCTTGCTTGGATGACGACATTTCAGATTTGGTTAATAGTGATAGTTGCTGTTGCAGATGAGAAACAGATAAGCTCTTACACTGAATGTTTGAGAAAAATGGATGCTTTGATGAGAAGACAGACAACACCTGTAAGGCGAATCAATAAATCTTTATTTTTCTGGTTGCAAAGAATGTCTTTGATCTCTAGGCAGAGATTAAAAAAAAAAAAAAAGGATGGAAAAAGAGACCAATCAATCAATTGAGCAAAATTTAAGTGGGAAGGCTGTATTGTGGAGAGTTCTTGCCATATTTCTAAGCATCAACAGATGCTTACGCATCAACCCATCTCTTGGGAGGAAGAAGAAATAAAAATCTTTGTTGTTGAAACATATGCTTAAACATGTAATTTAGCTGTAAAATTATTTACTTTCATATATGTGAACTATCACACCTATTATTACAATTCCTAGTTAGGGCAATGTTCAGGAAAATAAATACAATTTATTTTGTGCTATAGATTGATACAATGCAACTGTTTTCCTATTTTTGTTTTTCCCTTATAACTCATCCACTTTAAAAAAGCCAGTATGAATTTGCATGCACAGTGTAAAGCAATTTATTTTTATATCTATCTATCTATCTATCTATCTATATATATATATCTCCTTAAATTATTACATTCTATATATATTACATTCCCCTAAGAATTCAAAACACAAGCCGCACATGAAAGGAATATTATGATTTAAAAGTCAAGTATTGACACAAGGGTAGGCCAATAAGAGTTTTCAGACAAGCTTGTTTTGACTTGTAGAGGGTATGACTTAGAATTTAGCCTTTAATTGTGTGATGTCACTGTTTTGTTCAGAGGAGCACTGCCTTGTAGAGTGCATGGGGCAGACACTGTGCAGCCTTTCAGTTTAAATTTAATCTCTTTGTTCAGCATATGTCCTCAGGCTTTGTTTAAAGATGTTTAATCCTGCTTATAATGTGGAATTATTGACATTGTAGCAGGCTTTCCTACAGCATTTATTGTTACACTACCTTGAGCATACAATGAATGCTTATGAATTACATTCATGATATGTAGGGAATATCAACATTTTACTTATTGGGAAATAAGACAGAGAGATTAAGGTTAAATATGCCTATTAGTTTTGGTTGCCAGCCTTGAAATGACTGGGGTTTGCCTTGAGTTAGCATGACTCAGTTCTTTGTACATTTGAGGCATAGCTCCCTTTGACTTCAGATGCAGCTGTGAATGCTAACTACTTCATATCAGACCCCAGGCTCTCAAACCTAACACCAAGTGTAAAAAGAGCACTCGGTGGCCGCCTGTAGTTCAAGAAATGCACCTGACATCATGTAGGAGTGCTCTGGTGCTAGCAGACACAGAATCAATCATTTTCAGAGTGGTATTCTCTGCAGCAGTCCTCATCCTCTGCGTGTCCTGACCTTGTGTTGCTGTTCTTCCTCCCCTTCTAGATCTGGTCTCAGCTCCGAGATCTTTGTCCAAATCTGTTTTTTCTTCCATGACCTCATCCAGACTAGGTCCAGCTTTTGCTCAGACTGAATCCCCCTCCTGGCGGCAATAGTTGCAGCAAGGACGACATTGTGAGCCCAGAGGCACTTTCCCCAGGGCTGGAAGAGGATGCTTCTCTGTACAAAGGAACAGAGAGCATAGCTGCCTAAAATTTCCAAGTGAGTCCACATTGAAACTGTGCTAGATATTCCTGTACTGAATCATAATTCCAAATGCATGGATTCAGAAACAAGTTCAACGAGCGAGATAAAGACTGCAATGAGGTTGTGTGTCTGGCAATTCTTTGCAGAGAGACTCATTTGGACAGATCGGGATGGGTTATCTACTGGCTGGTCAGATCTGCTAGGCAAAACATATTTTTCTTATTCCTAGGAACATCTGAACACCTTTTTTTTTAAATTATTATTTTCTAAGTCAATTCTTGAAGTAAATTCTCATGAACGAAAATTTCTCAGCAGTTATATTTCAGAGTTGACAGTTTGCAAAGGTATAAATAACTAGAAAGGAATAAGATACAGACTGGGCCCTAGTTTTCACAAGACAGTGAAGACAGAAGAAATCTAGATATAAGGGTTCACTGCATAAAGGTTCACTGGTATAACAGAATGACATAATGCAATGTCATCTGGGAAGCACCCATGAAAGACTTCAAATTTCAATTCCTCCAAGACTCTGCAATTCAGAAAGGGTTCAGAGTATAACAGAGTAATTGATGGCAACTGTGGAAGCTTTATTTTGCTTTATTCAGCAACAGTTGATAATTTGATGAAGATGAAATAAAGATGCACCATGCTCTTTCATTTCATACATATAGAATTCTTTCAAGTTTAATCTGCCTTGGCTGAACTGGAATTGCAGCTCTGTGCTGGTGGTATTAATTTCTGTCCTTTGTGGAAGGTTCAGGAATATATATGCCTGTGAAAAATATGATAGCAAATATCTGAAGACAGGGAAATGAGCTTGTGTGCCAGATTGATACAATTTAGTGACACTCTGATGGAGCAGGTCACTGCAGAAGAAAAATTTATAATTTGTAATTGAAATGGTACTTGGAATTACCTTAGCATGTTCTATCAATATTGCTTGGAGTATGATGGATTTGTCACAAGGAATTTATATTAATCCCTTAGCATGACTGGCTATCTCCAGCAATGTACTACTTACAGGGCCATCTTAAGTCCTGATACCACTGTTTTTATTTGTTTGGTTAATTTTCTCAGAAAATCGGTAACAAGAGAATTCAGCCAGATTGATTTCCTTTTTAGTCAGCATGCATATCATTCAGAAGGGGCAATCAAAGCTAGATAGAAAAGAGGATGCCCTATAACATATAGTCTTGATGATCAATCCTTTCCCCTCATAAATATCCACTCAGAACACCCCGACTGTGTTCCCTTTGTCTTTGTGTCTTCTTTGTATTGATTTTCAAATAGCAGTCTAATTCCTGCGTTTTTCTGCAGAAACTACTAATAGAAAGTCAGAATTTTCAGTGTGTAAACATGACTTTTCACACAACAGACCCATTAAAAGCTACATTTGTTTAGACAGTTAAGAGAGTAACACCATACGATGGACTGGACACATTTAGACATGTATAGATGGAGTAGGTCACACGGGGAAAGCACTACTAGTGCTAATTAGGCACCAATTAAAGTAGATAGGCAGGAATATCTAAATCCAGGAAATGCAAAATATATTAGAAACACACAGCTACCTCCAAAATAGTTGGTGCATGCATGCAGCCTCACGCAGTGTTACAGCACTGCAACACCAGAGAGCAGCAGTGACAGGTTAGCACGGGGCTCTCAGCACTACTAGACAGAGTGGGCAGGGGGCCATCCTGGCACTGATTTACCTCAGCCAATTTGTAAGATATTTTACAGCTTCCTGTACAGCACCATATTCTGTAGCATAGGAAAAACTTCAGGGAGAATTAAGCTAATATACTGAGAGGTGTGTTGGTGTTGGAGCTGGGAACATGGTGGGAAGATGAAGAAGCTTGCCTAGTCTGTAAGGAACCCCAATCCAGATGTCTAAAACTACTCCTAAAATTAATATTCTAACTTCTGATATTATACTAAGACCACTGTGGTCTTATAAAATAAGGCAGACCTGAAAACACACTCTCTGTCACAGTGTGAGATGACTCTCCCACTTGTTTGGCTTTAAGGTTTTGGGGTAAGGGGCTGGGAGTGTAAGGAGAAGGAAAGTGAAAAGCCAAAGTGCAGTTAAAAAAGAAGTGGGAAACAAGTCCCTATGAGGGACTGGAATAGAGTGGTCCACCAAAGGTGAAGACAAAGATCCTACACCTAGTGTGGTGTGCAAGGTGGAGGGGTGATTTGTACTTACAGCGAAGAAGGAAATTCATTCCTAGTGGGATGGGAAAACAACAGCTGATATGGCTTTAGTGCTTAGCAGTCTCAGACTCCAGACAGGATTTTAAAGGCAGGTGTCCAAACAACAGGGGTAAATCCCTCAGTAAATTTGGCTCTGTTTTTTTCAGCTCATCTCAGACCTCATGTATGAAAAATGTTACAAGCTGAAAGTTATTTTACTGAATTATTCATAGACAGATTAGATGTAATCAAAGTATTTCAGAAAAATTTTCACATATCAAGAAGTCATCTAATGTCAAGCTCTGTAACAGGGATCCCTCGCTTGGGAAACTGGTATTAACCAAAAATAGAATTATGCGTTGGCTGCTTTTGTATAATCTGCCACAGGGGTGTTATTACATACATCACATCAAATTTTGGAAAAAAACAGTGTACAAAAAAGGACTCATACAGAAGATGGAGTTTATTGTGAAACCTGTGAACCAGGCTAATTCACCTCCTAACCTCCGACAAGAGTGGTGGCCATTCAGTGCACGCGTTGTGTGAAACTGCCTTTGCTCCTCCTTTGGCTGCCCATGTCCTGCTGCTCCCAACCCCAAACCAGAAGCACACCATTCTTCAGTGATACAAGCTTCCCTCCCGAGCCACAGTGGAGGACGTGTCCCTCAGAACTGTTTGCATTTGCTGTATAGGTAACTTGGTCAGACGGGCACCCTGTTCTATCAGCAAACTTTTGACTGCAGAGTGGTGATGCACAGCTGAGAACTGAAATGGAAGGTCAAAATTTAAAATCAGCAAGCCAGCAATTAGATTAACATACCAACTGCATACCAATAGCTGATAATTTCCCCCTCCCTCACATGAGGGACTGGTAAACAGTGGAGCTTCGAAGATGAAAATACTGTCCTGTATATAAGTATGCAGACACATATATGAGGTACCTATAGGTGCAAAATGCTGACTTAGACTGGTTCAGGCATCTTATTATAACAGCTCAGAGATTTCTTTTTCTAACTTAGTTTTTTGACTCATTTCCCAGATGCTTACATATAGAATCTTGGGCTCCCATCCCCTTCCTTCACATACACACATATAGACCTGAAGGTTTTGAAGTTGTATGTAAAGTTTCATTTTGATTCTATACAGTCAGATTAGGAGTTTTATTCAGTATCAGCTTACAGAATAACTGTGGGAAATATGGAATTTATTATTTTTTTTTAATTCAGTAAGAATAGCTCTCAAGTAATTAATTCTTGCTACTCTTGCAGTTTCATGTTGTTGTTAAAATGTGAAATATGCAAAGCATAAAGTAGATCTGCATATCATAAAGTATTTCCAAGTTTAAATTAGATTCTTTGGCAACAGTACTTCTGGAATGTGGTATGCATTTCTTTTGAAACTATGCAAAGTACATCTGGAAGATAATGCTTATGAAAATGCCTGTTGAAAAAGTATACTATATAAATCAAATATTTAGGATCTCTAAAGTAGAGCAGTAAAATCTATAAAATGACTATTAAAAGATTCGATGTAATTAACATAGTTAACAATGAATGTTTACACAAAAATAGCAGCCAAGCATTTGCAAGAGAAGAAAGAATGCAATTCATTTATAATGAATAAAGGCAAATAAATCAAAGTTTCCTTGCTCAATTTATTGAGTCCTATTCAACATCGGGACTTCCTCTGAACCAGTTTGATTTTTGTTCAGTCTTTGTCTAGAGCCACATGACTGGAGCAAAACTACGAATTGCTTTAAGCACTCCCAGATGCTGGAGTTGTCAGTCTTAGATCATACCACCTCCAATCCTTGTGGAAAAAGAAAGCATATATTCTCATTATACTGGGGTTTCAGCTGAATAATCTCCTGATTTAGAGACTTAAGTTAAAAAAAAACAGTTAACAATTATGATAAACTGGTCTGATTTCTGTTGTTTGATGAAATAAAAAAAAAAGTCTGTTGTTGCTGCTGGTATTTTGTTGGCAATATGTTTTACTTCCCTGTCTCTTGCTGCAGCACCCTTAGCAGCTTCAGTGGGACTGCACGTGTGCTGCTGATTGAGCTAAGCCAGACTTCAACATCACACCTTGTAAAGGCAGCTCCTATTGCCCTAATGGGAGGCTCTTTCAAAAGATGCCACCTTTTTTTTCCCTTTCTTTTTATCTCCAATTAACATAAGCAGGCTCAACCATATGTCGTTTGCAATATAAGAACAGTACACTGATCTTTTGAAGATTTGCTTAAATTGTGTTTTTCCATATTCACGGCATAAATCAAAAAGAGTATATATGTTTGTAACTTTAATGTTAAAAATGTTAATTTACTGCAAAAGAAAGATAATTTTGCCTTCTCCTCAGCCTTGCCTTTTATTTCATGATATTTATCCATGGAAAGCAGGGTGTTTCAAAGACTGTGTGTGACAGACCCTGCTTACACCCTCAGACCTCTTACATTTGTAGTCTTATGCTGGCTTAAGGATGGGAGATGACAGATGTGCATCTGGATAGTAAATCTCACCCTGAATTGAATCATGGAAATCCCCAAATACATATGGAGATTATATGGTATGTAAATTCCCCTTTCCTTCAGATCAGATAACCAGAAAAGGGTGTCAGGACAAGGCTATTGCTCCAAAATCTGCACATTGCACCATCTGTATCTCCACTTTTCTGGATTTCAGCCTGTGTTCCTTGTGCCAAGCACAACGTGATTAAGAATTATTCTTGCTGCAATCATCTGTGTCTGATCCCAGGTCAGGAAAAAACTACAACACTGAGCTGCATGTGTATGAAATGCAAGTGCTGTGGAAGAAATTACGATACAGGATCAAAAGTGTGATTCTCCCATTAAATTCAAATACTTGATTGGCTTGCTCGCCCCTGTAAGAGTAAAAATTTTCCTCAAAATTACATTTTAATAGTTACTTTAATTGTTATTGGCTTGAGTGTTCTATCATAAGCATCCATACATATGTGGATCCTATAGCAGTTATAGGATGAACTGCACCTTTTATCTTCATTCAAGCTCCCCCTCCAAATGACAGCTTTGTACCTCTAAATGTTCTCAAGATGGAAAGCTAAAACTGTCCCACTCTGCATAACTGCATGTACTGCTCACAAAAGTGACCAAAACGTCTGTCTTCTCTAACACATAAATGTGGTAAGTTTGTTCAAGCCAGGGGAGGTAGGTGCAAAGCTGAACACTGATGTCTTGAAAATTCTTCTCCTTTTAACCAGAAACATAAATATTAGGTGGAAATAAATCATGATTAGACCAAGCTCTCACACAAAACCAAAGAAGAATGTTTATTGTAGGGATGAGATGCAATTTTAGAAAAAAAAAAGAGCAGTCAAAAGTTGGAGTTGGGTTGTTTTGTTTTTAAATTCCTGATGCTCTAAGCTTCAGAACTGTAGAAATGGCTTCATTTTTAGCCTTTGGACTTACCCCAGACATGATCCCTCACAAGGACCAGTGACTGTGTATTGTATATGTACACAATGGACCGACTGTTAGACTAATGGGGGGCTGCAGGAGGTTTCTGTGGTCCCTTCATTAAACTAATGACAAACATTCATCTCTTATTACAGAGAATACATTCTCTTCCATTTTCCTTTTGCAACTCATACTCAACTTTGTATTTTCTATTTTTTTGCAAAGGCTTTTCAGATGTGTTCTCTGAATTTTTAAGGGAGTATATGACGAAGACTCTTCATACCTATTAATTATGAATCAAATTTTCTAATACTAATAAGCAGCTGAAGTTCACATAACTGCACCTCATCCTATACTATGGCTGAGACATTTCAACTTCTCTAAGCTTGTGGACATGGAAGTCTAAATCCATTTACATATGACAGGTGAGCTGGGGCAGAGACATACTCACCTGAAGACAGTCACATACCTTTATCTCAACTGAATGGATACAGCTTCCACTAGGATGCCTCTACTTCTCACCCTCTGGCTCTGTTTTAAAGGTCTCTTCCATTGAATAGATGGAATGCATGTAAGAAACCAAAGACAGAAGTGGGTGATGATAGTAATTTTACAGAAGTTTCACAGCTGAGAAAATTCTGAGAAGCCAAAAAATCTATATAGTTTCAGAAGACTTGGGATAACATGGTGGAAGTTATTAAATGGAGAATGGTGAAGGCACATGAGTACCCCACGTGCTGTTTTTGTGCACAGCTCAAGACCTTTGTATATTAAAGCAGGGCTGGAAGATCCCAAAGAAGTTTGGCAGGGTGACTGTGAAACATTTTATAACATTTACATCATTGTTTTATGTTTTTCAAGGGAAATTACTCATAGTGTGATTTCTACAGTGGGTAGAAATATACTCTCTCCTGCAGCACTGCACGCTAACTTAGGGAAAGATCAGATGAGAGCAAAGTGAGAATTCTCAAAGTTTGTCCAGTGTCTCCAAAGTCAAACTCTAACTGCCCTTTACTGAGTGAATATGCAAACGTGTTAATGCTTTGGGGATGTCTGTGGTGAGAAGTTGAGATGAGACATTGAACTTAACTGTCTACAACTCAGTTCTTTGCTTCAGAGAGGCTGACAGATGTTTGGACTCTGAGCAAGCTTTGTAGCAGCCTCCATCTTGAAAGGAGTAGTCATCTACCCGCTTTGAAATTTTTAAAGAAGTTGCTTCAGGGGCTGCAGTGCTTTAAAGAAAAGTTTTTGAGAAAATATCAGAAGTCTTGAAGTATGCAGAAAACAGCCATAATAATAACCAAAGGGGATGAGCTGTATTCTTGCAAGCAGATAAAGTGCAAGTTGAATGAAAACAAAAGGAAGGAGATACTAAATGGGAGAAGAATGTAAAAAAAAGTTACAGTAGGAAAATTTCCAAATTCTGAGCCCCCAGAACTTTCCATTGCCACTATTTTCCAACAGTCTTCATTTTGGTAAATATGAAATACACATAGTATCATTTAATATTTTAAAGAAGACACTGACTATCAAAAAACCCGAAACTGTCGCTGCAAAGTTCACTTTTGAGCTGTCACCACTGGGTGATGCAACACATTCCTTGCACACTTGAAAATAGCAATACAAGACTTATCAGGAAGAAAGGACTGGATCTTATATTGAAAGCAAGTGGTACTTTAAGAGGTAAAATAAAGCCTGCAGGAATTCTGCAGTGGTTTATGTTACGCCATAGAAAGTGAGAAGAAGCTGCTGTCATTGAAACTGTCAAGTCCTGTTGAGATTTGGCTGGCTGGCAATTGAAGAATGCAAATAACTGAGGACTGAAGAGTATTTTAAGAAATTGCAAATGCATCATGTTCAGAACGTGTGCAATTTTTGCAAAAGCCAGGCACAGAAAATCTGACATGGTCCCCAAACACAGGTTCTCTGGCTGGCAGATTGGTGAACATGCTGCAATGGCAGCTGAAGAGTATGTACTGATTAAACAAGAGCCTCATGTGGAGACCACCTTCCTGGAACTTGGTGCTTCTTTTTTAAATTTTCAGTTTAAATCACTCTTTTAAATAACTTGAAATTTGTATTTGTTATTATGTGGACTTTCCAAGCATGTAATTGTTACAGTCTATTATTAGATTGGTAGAATCTGCAGCAGTCCCTCATGTTGACATTTTAATCACTAGTACTTACTGTTGTGAAACTTCTCACAGGCTGAGCTGATTTGTAAAATCAAATCTTACATCCTTTATGGGATTTGACGTCTTACATAATTAACTAATCTACTATACACCATAGCTCATTGATTTAACCATGGAAAAAAACAGAAGTTAGACCA